TAAGATATCTTTTTCTTTAATGACTTTGCTTAGTCTCTTCGTTAGTATCTTTGTCACACATTTTCTAAATACTTCTATTAATACGATTGGTCTAACTCTATCTAGGTTAAATCTCCAATCTTGCCTTTTTAGTATGGGATAAATTTGTGTCATTTTCTATTTAGCTGGAATATTGCCAACTTGTAAACATAGTTTTGCAAAGTTCTTAAAAACTTGTTGAGACCTTATATCTGCTTGTTTCAATAGAGGGTATGAAATTGTTGATATTTCTGGGGCTGAGTTAGCTTTACTTTCCCTTAACATTGCTTGCCACTCCTCTAATATAATCGGTTGCGTTACTGGATCAAACCATGACTTTTGGATTCTCTCTTTTGGTTGGTACTCATCAGATCAAAGTTTCTCAACCTCTGTGTAGCTATTTTCTTTGCCTACAAATTGCTTTTGGAAGTGGGCTTGAACTTCTTCCAAAACTTCTACCAGATCATTTAATAATGTTTCTTGGTCTTGATTTTGTACTAGTACTCTATCCAAAACTACATTGTGAAATGGCCGCTCTAGCAGGCTGTTTAGCATTTTCTTTTAATTATTTACAATTTGTTCTGCTCTTTTTTGTATATATGCTTGTATTTCTTTTTTCCTCTCCTGCTCGCTGCTTGTTATTAACTTGCCTTCGATTGCTTTCTACCACATAAATGCATCTGTCTGCCATATACCATCTTCTAATACTGTATCTTGATGTCTTTGATATTGCTATCTGCTAATAAGTTTATTCGCCTGATTCTTCTATTCCAATCTGCAATTTTTTCTTGTAGCCTGATACTGTTTGCTACTCTAGTTTCTTTAATTACTTTGCTTAGCAAGTATGCCACCTTTAAAAATCTGCTCTTTTTTTTTTTGTAATTTACTCTTCTTCCAAAATCTACTATCTTGTTTGGTAGATTGCGCTGACCTGCTAGTAAAATTGCACTCTTTATAGTCTCCCATATTTTATCAAGATCTGCTTCTAACTCTTCTAATATCAATAAGTCTGTAGGTAATATTTCTTGTTTAAAAACTTTTAACTGTTTGATGTTTAGCCTACTCCACAGACTCATTTAATAGCTGTTCCAATTTTCTTCTATAGCTAAATCAATCTTCCACACTCTTTGCTTTATACTTGGTATATTTCTAGATAGGTAGTTACTTAAATGGGATGACAAATACTATTTAATTTTTGCAAATACTAAGTTATGATCACTACCTGTAATCGCTACCATGTCCTCAATATTAGCCTTTTGCGTTATTTTCACTATGCTTTGGGATATCCAAATTTGATCAATTCTTGTTGCGACTGTATTATTGCTCCATGTAAACTTCTTTTCATAAGGGTTGAGCAATCTGTATATATCCACAAAATTATATTCTTTAAGCCATTTATGCAATGCTAGTTTTCTAGGACTCTCTGTTTGTAATGATTTGTCTACTACTGGATCTACTATATAATTAAAGTCTCCTATTACGACTATAAGATCCTTATCTTGTGTTCTACTTATTTTTTCTCAAACTAATGTATCTATCTTTTTTATTATCTCCATATCATTTGGGGAGATATAAACCAGAATTACTACTAACTTGTAGACCTTAAAATAAAGGTGCACTATTAACATATATTCATTTGGCTTCTCTATTCTGCCAATATGCTTTTCTATATTCTCTTGCACTAGGAGGCCAACACCAAAGCCTTTCTTTTTAGATTTTGAACTGATCGACTATATTCCTTTGAAGTTAATATTGTCCTTTACCACAAACCCTGCTTCCTGCTCTTGCAGGTTTGTCTCTGTGACCCCAATTATGTTGTATTCTTTTTCTACTACCCATTTTAATAAAAGCTCTATTCTATGATTATGTACCTTAAGCTCATTAATGTTGTGTATTGCTATATTGATCTGGTTAGCCAATTCTAAAGTTCCTGATAGCACCAGCTATGTTTGAACCTGGCTACTATTCGGGGTACCTATAATTGATGTAGTGCCTATGGCACCTCTCAGAAACACATAGGAGCTTTGTCCCCATTCTGATGTTCTTCAAGTGATTCTAGTCTTTTAAGAATTTTTTGCAATAGATCAATATGATTTGCTTTATTTTTACTACTTCCTTCCACAAATCTTTTTTGTTCTTGGTCGATACTTGGTCTTTTGCCTTTTTATTGTATATTAATAGGCTGAATATTCTTTTCCGTAAACTTGCACTTCAGTTTATTCATGCTTTCTTCGAACAGCTTTACCATACTTCTAGATTGAATATCTAAGTTTTCTTTGTCTAGAACTAGATTTTCCTCAATTAATCTCGGCCTTAGATTTTCATGCCTATTGATATCTTGTTTTAAAGTTTCTTTAGCTTCTTTGCTTTCTGGATTCACCTACTGAGAAGGTCTACTTGAGTTTGTTCAGGGTCTTTTAGTACCTTGAAAATATTGTATACTCGTAATACTACTACTTTCTGCCTCTCTACTATGTGATCTCCACTCTAATTTTATATTAAAATAAACTTCTGAGCTTGTAAAAG